GTATGGCTGGCTGACGACGGCTAATAAGCCAGAAATGGCCATTCCAGTCTCCCTTGTCTTTGTCGGTAATACTATTCTGCATATGTCCATAAACCCAGATCTCTGTTTCTTTCCACAGTTTCTAACCTCGTCCCGTCAATATAGTACTGGTGTTTGGGAGAGGCATTGCGGCCGGTGATCAGGTGCAAAACCACGCATTTGGACACGTTAAACTTCAAAAGCCATCTGTTCGACCAAGCACACAGTTTGTTGATGTTCGACTGCAACTGCTCTGCGTCATCATCACACTTGACTTCACTCCATATTTTTATGTCATCCGCGAACATGAGAGCCTCGCAATTCACTTCGCTGATGCAGTCATTAACATAAATCAGGAAGAGTACTGGGCCTAAGACAGAACCCTGTGGGACACCACTTTCCACCTTTACCCATTCCGAGGTAGAATTACTAACGACAACTCTTTGTAGTCTGGAGGACAGAAAACTTCTGATCCACTTAAACATTCTCCCTTGAATCCCTACATCCCAGATCTTTTGCAAAAGAAGCCTGTGTGGGACACTGTCAAAGGCCTTCTTGAAGTCAAAAAATATGACATCTACCGGAAAACCCTTATCGGTAGCTCGTGTCCATTTCTCGTGCGAGTAAAGAACACTCGTTAGGCAGGAGCGCCCTGGACGAAAGCCGTGCTGGGAATCGCACAATATTTTGTTCTGTTCCAGGTATTTCATCAAGTGTCTTTTGATAATACGTTCCATTATTTTACACGCGATGCAAGTAAGACTGACAGGACGATAATTTCCGCAGTCAAGTCTTGAGCCTCCTTTATGGATCGGAGTAATGAGTGCGCACTTCCATTCTTCCGGGAGCTCACCGTCTTCAAATGACTTTTGAAATATTGCGGATAAGGGTTTGCGCAGTTCATTAGCAAGTTCTCGAAGTGCTAGGGCGGGAATTCTATCTGGGCCAGGCGATTTGGCAGGTTTCAGCCGGAGTAACTCGGCCCTAACTATGGTAGATGTAAAGAGTGGTTCCTCGGTTAAGGAGGGTAGGGAGGGGATAGGGTGGGGGAGGGTACTGGGAGGAGAGGTTGATTGGCGAATGGATGGATGGGCAAATATAGCACTAGGTTCTCGGGTGAAGACGGACTGAAAGAAGTCGGAAAGGAGGGACGCTTTAACCTGGTCATCAATCTCCACTTTTCCATCTGCAGACCTGAGGGCAGGGATGAGCTCCTGAGTCCTTTTGGTACTTCGTATATAACCATATAGAATTGTCGGCTGCTGACGGAGGAAAGCTTCACGAGCCTCAGAGACCGAAACGCTATCAATGAATTGTTCCACAAGGATCTGTTTCAGGGCGGCGGCTACCAAGTCGTGGTTTGCTCGGTGGCCAAGAAGACGTAGGGCTTGTTTAAATTCCATTACGCCCTCAATAGATCCTAGCATTCGACGTCAAATCTCCGACCGCACCAGTCACGAGGGTGTGGAGGCGCAAAGAGTTCGACGGAGAATACAAATGATGTCATCAGCAGACCTCGTGGAGACAATTCCAGCCGCTCAAGCCAGGCCGTACACATTGTCACGTAACTGCGAGGTGACAGCCACGCCTTTGGACTGTGCGTCCACATCGCCGAGATAGTCCTTCATGCGGGACTGCAAACTGTCGAAATCAGTCGACAAACTCAGCTTGACCTGTGGAGTACCTAGGGAGGGTGGTAGTCCCAGCTTCTGCAGCTTCTTAATATATTTACCGACCACGTTGTCCGCCATGATATGTGAAATACCGCTGCAACCAATTTGAAACGGACTGGACTAGAACAGGGGCTAGTCCGAGGAGGGAAATGGAGATAATTAGTAAAAGAGCACGGAGTTTACTAAAGCCGCCTACTTACATGCTATTTCCGTTAAATGTTCTACTGTATAAGGGCTGGGCATAGGAGTTCTGTCTTTGGCAGCACAAACGGCGGGGGAGGCAGAGGCTAGGGCCGAAGTGTCCACGTTCCGCCTTGGCTAATTCTCAGCCCTATTTATTAGGTCCTGCCAGTCGAAAAAATTAAAAGACTGGATTACAACATTGTGACTGTTTTTGAGTCATTGTAAAGAGAAAGTAGAGCAAGCTATATGTATAAGCATTACACTTATTTTGTACTTATGTTTGAAGTCATGAGTGCACACTTCCATTCTTCCGGGAGCTCTCCTTCTTCAAATGACTTTCGAAAGGCTGTAGACAATGGTTCGCAGAGTTCATTAGCAAGTTCACGAAGTGCTAGTGCGCGAATTTTATCTGATCCAGGCGATTTGCCAGGTTTCAGTCAGAGTACTTCGGCCCTATGGTCGATAAAAAGAATGGCTTCTCGATTAAGGAGGATATTGAGGGTGTAAGAGGCGGAAGGGAGTAGGGAGAGACGTCGGCTGGCGATCGAATGGATGGGCAAATAAAGAGCTGAGTTCCCGGGTGAGGACGGACTGATAAAGTGTAGAAATAAGAGGCGCTTTTACCTGGTCATCAGTCTCCACTTTTTCATCTGCAGACCTAAGATCAGGAACCAGCTCCTGAGTTCTTTTAGTACTCCGTATGTAGCCAAATGAAATGTTCGGATGTTCTGGGGAATTTTTCAACATGTTCAATTCGAATTTCCTTCGCAGCCAGGCTCGTTTTCCAGTGCTTCCCCACATCGGCGTTATCTATGTAGAGGGCAAGCATTTGTAATTAACTTTGTCTTAATTTTTTTTGTTAACGTCTGCATGAGCGGCATTCCTCTTCCCTTGCACGGGTGACTGAGCACCAATCAAACTCGCCGAATGGAGAACTAAGCGTATCGGCCTACCGACTGGAAGAAGGCTAAACGGGAGGAAGGCTTCCCTGCAATTTCTGGGTTCCCGCTCTGTTGTCTTCCTCCTACCCTTTGACCGAATAACCTGTGATTCGCCTTTTCCCCAGATCCCTATTTAAAAAACGTTCCGCTGTTGACGATTCAGTTTTAATATTACCTTTTGAAGTCTGTGTGGCTGAGGTTGCACGATCTTCATGAAAGAGAGTTCAGAAACTAATGTGCCTACAGTCGTCCCATTGACGACCAACACCAATCACCCCCTAAATACGCCAATCCAGGCGGAACTAAACCGACAGGTAACCCGGATATTACATGCTATTGTACCAAACACGCGGGCGGAACATCGTTCCAAAATAAGAAGATCTTGTCGAAAGCGAGATAAGTTTATTAAGGAACGAAAATTGCGGGAGAGAGAGAAAGGAACGAGACACAAAGGTACTGAAGATGGAGAAAAGTTAAACATGCGCAGGCAGCCAGAAGATCCAACCACACACGCCACGGAGGAAACCGGTAGTGAAGTGGTTGTCCAATCAGGCGTTCTTTTCCGTGACCCCGCCCAGGATTGCTTCTTCGGTTTCTACAATAAGATCAAAGCAGGGAAAGATAACTATGATAAGGGGATGATCATGGTGAGTTTTCCATCACACTTTACTTGACGTTCTTGGCTACATCACTACAGAAAATGCGGAAAAGGTCTAGTCGAATGCTCAACCTAGAACCCAGAAAATAAACAAACGGACACACTCTTGCTTAATTAAAACAAACAAACAAATTGCAAAGCTCAGTATGCTTAAAAAGCAAAGTAATATGTGAATCAGGATGAAAATATGATAGGAAATTACGTTTGTTTGCTGGAATTTCCCACTGTCTTTCATCACCATCCATCGTTTGCTGAACACTTAAGCAGTTAGTAAGGTCAAATGACATTCATATCGTCTTCGTCATATTTAACCCGCCGACGTTGCCGGAGAGTCCAGTGGAGGCCAAAAAACATGAAAAATCCAAAGTTTGAGCAAACTGCCTAAAATTTCTAGGACGGCTTACTTCATTCTAACTTACCTTCTAATATTCTATCAATTTGAACATCAGATCGTCATAGCTATTGTATATAGCGTCTTCGTACGTGACGCCTAAAACTGGCACGCAGCTTTAGTAGTTGTTTTAGCACTACTGTGTACGCGTTGTGGGTTAATAACCAAACCAACTTTTTCGAGAACTGGGACTTAACCCACGAATGTCCAGCAAGCTATTCTCCTTGGAAATCCTTGCCGTTTCGACCTCTTCAGTCAGCAAAAATTCATGGATGTGGTTCGCTTTAGAGGACGGTGTCCTAGTTCTGTCAATCTTTCTGTGAACTACATCGGGAACATGTGGGCACTTCTTGTCTCGTTATAGTAGCCGGCTGCCTAAGGATGCACTTTACTTTGACATTTCTTACTTGAACGAGTTCAGGAATGTCATACACTGGGTCGCTCAGTAACTGAAAGTATCATCAAACATAATTTAATGAATATTAAACTTAAGAAGTGTCGTGAAAGTCATTGCAGTTCGCATGAAGATGTCCGACAAATTGCCTGATAGTCCTCGGAAACATTCCGCAAATTGCTGCCGTCTCGCCAGCGTCTCCCGTCTTGTCTTGTAACGACCGAGCGAGGGACGGATGTCGGATCGCCGGTTATGAAGGAAGGGGATGATGGTAATTTGAACTCAAATGGCCCCGCCGATTGGAAGATCCGATCTAAAAAGTCTTGAGTCTGAGAGTGGACGGGATCGGGATGAACAGGCATACGTGATATGGGATAAGCAGCACAGGTGATAGAAGATATGATTGAAAAGCCAATTTGGCAAACACGTGTTTTTGGTAATTCGTCATCAGGCCAAAACAGTTACAAAGTTTAAATTATGCGAAGTTACAGGGCTTATAAGTGATTCAGGGATTATAAACACCCATAATTCCCACGCCACTCGCATGACGAGGCGTGCTATGGCATGGTCGGTGTGTAGTGGTCATTGGGTCAAGGGGGCGAGGGAGAGGGGGGACATAGGCTGTGAGTAATGTTTGCACGTCGAGTTCGTTGTGCACACACCACTGCTATCATGAGGTTAGGACGACGTTGGCCACGGAAGACAGAGTGCCTGTGTCGGCGTCTTCTTACAACATAGCACTGGATTGGCTAGCCGCATAGACACTGCCTCCGCTGTAGCTAGCACCCGTTGGCGTAGACCTCTGGAGAAGGTTGCTGGGGTCCGGTAGACAACCAGAAAGGCTTCTTTGGCATCGGCTCGGTGTTTCGTATCGACAACATGTGCGAGAATAGAAGTCGAGATCGATTTCTTTTCATCTCTGCCTAGCCAGGCCGGTATGTGTTCACGTACTCTCTTTTCCAGGCGCCTCGTTGTACGGCCAATAATACACATTAATGTGACCTGCAACGGGAGTCGGTCTTTACCTCCCAAGCGTAGGAGGGGAGAGTGCGTGAAACACACACGTAACTTCGCAGCGGGGAAAGCGTTAGCGATCGCTGTCTTCAGACTTCTTCTTACTAAGTCACTTGCTGCGTCCCCTTGAAAAGGCAGTCTTATTAATAAGTCTTTCTTTTCTGCAGTTTCTAGGATGGGCTTTGCAGTGCGCTCCCCTATATTTCGGAGGATAAATCTTTCTGAGTATCCGTTTTCGTGTGGTATATCCTGCATCTGTCGGAGTTCTGTCTGAACAGTCTCAGGAGAGCAGATACGTCGCATTCTAGCTGCCAATCCCTCGACCATATTGCGTTTAATATTTAGCGGAACAAAACTGTGAAAACTAGTGTATTGACCCGTCCAGGTTTTCTTTCGGAATATCCTACTCTGGATGGACCCATTCTCTTGTCTGTGCAGAAGAACATCGAGGAACGCGATTTCGTTGTCTGTCTCAAACTCTGCAGAGAACTTTACCGAGCGGTGTGTATTGTTGAATTTTTGAACCAGGGCGTCTTTGTCGGTTGTAACACCCGTCAGGCAGAAAATGTCGACCACGTACCGATCATTGATTTTGAGGTCACCAATAGTGTCTTGCAAACTTGTCATCTCGACTTTGTCCATGAAGACATTTGCGAGGAACGGGCCGAGCCGTGAGCCCATCGCTATGCCGTCTATTTGCCTGTACAGTTGACCATTGCAGAGAAACTAGACGTTTTGCGTGCACCGTATCAGTAGTTCTTTTAGCGTCTTCAGTGGCATATATAACCGGTAGTTCGTGTCGCGGATAACGTCACAAAGGTAGTTAATAGTTTCAGCTACGGGCACATTAATGAACAGTGATGCTACGACTCATGATGAAGAGTTACCGAAAACGCGTGCTTGCCAAATTTACTTTTCAATTGTAACATGAGAATAATCACAAAACTTAGATAATCCAAAAAAGATATAAGTTTATCCGAGTATACAAAAATCGACAACTAATAAATGAGGCTACGGAAAAAGGAAAAATAAAATGGAAAGACTTAACGGGAAGGGTCTGAGGTTATTCGTCAGCACGTGGCATCGGAAGCCTAGCTCCTGCACGGTAAACGGAAAAAGACTGCCTCTAGCGTGACAGTTCATTAAAGCGCCCAATGCCGGGTTCCTGGTCCGATCTCCGGTTGTTAAAGTGTAACAATCGGAGATCTGACCAGGTGTAGCGTCCGTCCTCGATGAGGGTTCTGTGGCCGTGATCTCACTCGCGTCCTTATGGGCTGCCTGGGACGTAACGTCGGGGGCTGGAGCACTTTGTCCGGTCTGCGTATTATTAGGGTCGTCTTTCTTAGCATTCATCATCGAATATCAATCTTCAGGCTCACGATAAGACGCGTAATATAATAAGATTTATTTTAGGAGGAGAGAAAAGGACGTAGAACAAGGATCAAAAGGAGTGCCTCAATTAATCCGACGAAACGTTAAGTTCTAACTAACTAAACTAACTAACGAACTAACTATCTCAGTATCAGTATATTTCAGGGAAAGTAAGTGTGTACCTTTGAAATCCCTATTGGTTACATGCAGAGGATATATATGGAGGAAATGGAAAGGAAGTAACATGAAAGAAATGCGAGGGGAATAGCAAAAACTGTACAGATGAACACAGAATGTCATGCTTTAACAGAATTTAGAGGTGCATTAACCTGCTTCGTTGATCAAATACAGCGGACACTTGAGGCACACTTAAGATTTAATTTAATTTAATCTAATTTATTAAATGCCAGTTTACAGGCATTGTCAAGTGAAAAGAAGTAAAATTGTTTAGTCTACAGGCATGGTGGTGAACGCGAGCAGCGGTGTGCGACGTGGTCTGAAATTAATAAAATACATAAACACATGTTACGTAAATGTTGGTAGCAGCATCGTAATAACACTAAATTGCCAACGTTGGCTGTCAAGGTGGTCGTAGTCCGGCGTTATTGTAGTGCGCGCTCCAATGCTGATCTAGCCTCTTTTTAAAAGTATCTACGGAGCCCGACATAACAACATCCTCAGGCAAGGCATTCCAAGCTGCAACCACTCTGTTGGAGAAGAAGAACTTTCGGATGTCTAGCCGGACACCAGCCACACGCAGTTTGAGTGGATGGCCTCTCAGGTTAGTCGCAGTCGCCAACTCGAAGAAGTCTCCAAACGCGAGGCAGCAGCCCTGATTGCGCACGATGCGGAAAGCTTGTATCAGGTCCCCACGTAGCTGTCTGTAACTCAAAGGAAAGAGGTCAAGATTAGCTAGTCGTGTTTCATAGGGTAGTGACCACTGCCTAGATACAAGTTTCGTTGCTCGCCGTTGAGCCTTTTCGAGTATGCCCAAGTCTTTAGCGGTCCAGGCCTCTATGCTTGGATAGCAAACTCCAGGTGCGGTCGCACGAAAGTTTGAAAGACCTTGACGAAGCAGTCTTCATCAAAGGAGGAGAACGCACTTTTGACGAGGTATAGAATGGACATCGCCGACTTGGCTACCTTTGAGCATTGCAGCGAAGGCTTAAGCGCGGTTATGATCCATACACGCAAGTCCTTCTGGGCGTCGACTTCTTGCAGTGGTTTGCCAGTCAGACGGTAGACCGTGTGGTTAGGAGAACTGTTTCTGACGACGCGTAGGAAATTACACTTGTTTACATTGAACGGTAGAAGCCAGTCTTTCGACCATTGCTCGAGGTGGTCCAGATTTGTCTGCAGTCGTGCCTCGTCAACTTCGCTTTCTATCTTCCTGAAATTAAATTAAGGCTCTGTCGTATGTTTGTACTTCCAATTCTCGAGTATTGTTGCCCATTCTTTGGTTTGATGAATGAAGCCAGTCGTTTAAAAATTGAAAATGTCCAAAGACGTTTTTCAAAAAAACTTTTGGATAGGGAACATCCCAATATCTCCTACTCAGATAGATGTCAGCTAATTAACCTAAAATTTTTATGGGTTCGAAGACTAGAAGCGGGCCTCTGTCTCCTCTTTCGCATTAATCATAGTTCAAATTTTCCTCGAATTTCAACACTTACCCCTAGTAGTCGCCCATACAATCTTCGCAACTCGTCTCTTATTATACCTCTTCCAGTGTCCTCCACCTCTAAGCGCTCCCTTTTTTTCGCTTCCAGATATACTTTCCTCTGGAATAACCTTCCAATAAATATAAGATCTTCAGAAAATCTACACACCTTTAAGAGAAGGCTACGCCTCTATCTGAATACTGACTCGATTAAACTTTTATTTTCCTCATCCTTCCCAGACAACTTTTTCTATGACACTGAGAAAGGGCCACCGGGAATTTAGCATGCCGCTATTAAATTTCCGTATCTGTTCACGTTTCCTTCCTTTATGAGTAGTCTCGCAACCTAAGATCCCTCACCAGAAATTTTAATTATTCCAATTTTTTAGTTCATGCATCGTGCCCTCACAGAATGCGCGCCATCGACGCTCTTGGCGAAACCTTCTGTATTCGCCATATACTAGTAGTTTGGTCGCATCTCCCTTCCCCCATCCTCGGTTGGACTCGGATGAATGTAACCGACCGCATCTGGGTTCCTATCGCCTCGGGACTGATCTTCATGATGCCCTCACTGAATGCGCTCCATCGATGCTCTTGGCGAAGCCTTCTATATTAGCCATATACTAGTAATCTGGTCGCATCTCCTTTGCCCTATCCTCGGATGGACTCTGATGAATGTAACAGACCGCATCTGGGTTCTTGTCGCCTCGAGACTGGTTGTCATCGTGCCCTTACTGAACGCGCTCCATCGACGGTCTTGACAAAGCCTTCTATATTCGCCATATACTAGTAGTTTGGTCGCATCCCCCTTCCCCCCATGTTCCCCCCATGTTCGGATGGACTCGGTTGAATGAAACCGACCGCATCTGGGTTCTTGTCGCCTCGAGACTGGTTGTCATCGTGTCCTTACTGAATGCGCTCCTTCGGCGGTCTGGACAAAGCCTTCTATATTCGCCATATACTAGTTGTCTGGTCGCATCTCCCCCCATGCTCGGATGGACTCGGTTGAATGAAACTGACCGCATCTGGGTTCCTATCGGCTTGAGACTGGTTTTCAATTTCGGCACTTATTTTTCTTATTCAAGGCGATACAGGCCAGTCCTGACCGACCCGCCTACGTACCATTTTATGAAATCCGTTACGCAATGCCATATACAGCTGACATTTATTTCGGCCATGTTGATGTCGGACTATATTCCATTTTGTACCGCCACATGCAGGCCAGTCCTCCCTGTTTTTTTTCTGATGCTATTTTTCTGAGGGGTTTTTTTTCTCCTGTTAAATTACTACAATCATTTTTAAATTTTGCTTTGGAGTTTTTTTACCCCTCGTTTTTTTTTTCATTTTCATTTTGCTTAACGGACTTCTAATCTCAAAAACTATGCATTGCACTTTGTGCAGATTTTGTCTACATCGTCTAAAATTTGCATGTAAATTTATTTTTACTTGCTTTGATGGGACCCCGACGGGTCTTTAATAAAAATAATTAATTAATTAATTAATTATGATATTCCAGATCTTTATGTCATTGGCAAACATTGCGACATCGCAATTCAGTTCGTTTGCGCAGTCATTGACGTATACGAGGAACAGCGTAGGGCCAAGAACAGAGCCTTGGGGAACACCACTCTTAACGGCAACCTCGGCAGATTGTTGGTCACCGACGTGGACGGCTTGAGAGCGGCCGATTAAAAAGCTCCGAATCCACATCAGAAGCTTACCTCGCACTCCTGCACGGCTAAGTTTGTATAGAAGGCGGTGGTGAGGCACACTATCGAAGGCCTTTTTAAAGTCGATATAGATGACATGCACCATATCTCCTCTATCAACAGCCCTAGTCCAGTGTTCCAGACAGTAGAGCAGGTTGGTCACACAGGATCTGCTTTTGCGGAATCCATGCTGAGAATCGGAAAGCAAATGGTTTTGTTCAAGGAACTGCATTAATTGTTGCTTTATTATCTTCTCCATAATCTTACAGCAAATGGAGGTGAGGCTGACAGGTCTGTAACTGTTCGCAGAGACCCGACTTCCGCCCTTGTACAGCGGCGTAATCCACGCCGACTTCCAGTCGGGTGACTAAGTAACTAACCAACCATAGTAACTAGCTAACTAACTATATTGGCTGACCATCTAACTAATGGACTAACGAACTAACTATACTAACTAACTAACTAACAGTATGAACTATGCTGAATAACTAATTAAATTTTGTGTCGGCTGCGTGAAAATTTCAAAGGGTGCAACTATATAATAACTTTTTATCTGAAAAACTTTCTCAATTGGTCGACTTTCTCAATGACATCTTCCGGGTCTCTCAGTGATTGGAAGTGTCACTCAAACATAAATTCGCAAAATGTAAACTCTTACATAAGCTGAAAAAAATAGGGATCGGTGGCAACTTCCTTAAATGGATCGAAAACTTCCTTGTGGGTCGACACCAGGTTGTGTGCATCGGTCGGGGAAAGTCAGATCCGGCTATGGTCGATAGTGGTGTCTCCCAGGGTTCAACACTGGGACCCATTTTGTTCCTTATCGACGTGGACGATGCCGCAAGAGATTAAGACTGTGAAGTAGCAATGTTTGCGGATGACATGAAGATATGGAGTGTAATTCGGGGTCCTGCCGATGAAGACAGACTGCAGATGAACCTGAATCGGTTGGAGGAGTGGTCAAACCGTCGGCTCCTGCGGTTCAACGTTGCCAAATGTAGCATACTTCGCCTAGGCAACACAGCCAGATCCGACAGCACAAGAGGCTACTTTCTGGGCGGTGCAGCCCTACAAGAGGTCGAAGCCCAAAGGGACCTCGGTGAGCTTACGACGAGTTCCCTAAAACCATCCGCCCACTGTTCGAGGGTGGCAAAAAGCGCAATGTCCGTACTGTACGCCATCAAGCGTGCGTTTATGGACTTTGACGAGGAAACTTTCTCTAAGACATTCGGAACATTCGTCCGGTCGCATTTAGAGTACGGCATACAAGCTTGGAGGCCATGGGCGGTTGAGGATCAAAACTGCCTCGAAAGAGTCCAGAGGAGAGCCACGAAGATGGTTAGGGGTCAAAGCTCCTTTCCTTATGCAACCCGCCTAGTAAATCTGAACCTCTTTCCTTTGAGCTACAGACAACCTCGCGGAGATATCTTGCAAGCCTTCCGCATTGTAGAGGGGTTGGATTGCAGTCTGGCCTTCGAGGACTTTTTTTAATTTGCTACCACGACCAACCTCCGAGGTCACCCGTTAAAACTGCGCACTCAGCAGGCACGGCTGGATGTGCGGAAGTTCTCCTTCTCGGTTCGGGTGGTCAAACCATGGAATGAGCTTATCGCAGATGTTGTGATGTCACCATCTATACAAAGTTTTAAGAAGAATCTGGACATATTTATGTTCCGAAATGACCAAGAGCGATGAGAAGTCGAGCTCACCCCCTGTAGCTCCTTCTCATTTTGTCCCACCATTATGGGCGTGTTCGAACTATTTTAGCCCAGAACATCTATCTGTACACCACACATTTTTTACGTTGCAAATAGGGTACTCAAAGGCTTACGCCTATTTCCCTCAATAAACTGAACTGAAGTTCCGGAAGCCGTCGCCGCTCGCATGCAAGTGTTCGACCAATCAGTATTCAGCATTCTGAAACCCTTCCGCATATCCCGTTTTTAATCACTCGCATCCGCATACACAGTTTTTTTAGTCACTCGCAGTTTCTGCGCGCATTTTTCTGCGGACACCTTGTTGTTAGTCCCCACACATGGCGAACCATCAAACGTTCATAACCCTGAATAGCAGCCATAAAATGCCTCAAGTTGGCTTGGGAACATTTATGGTTAAATGTCCTTTTGGTTCACCAGTTTTAGGCGCCTCCTAACGAAGTGGAAAATGCTGTCCTCGCTGCGATTGACACCGGCTACCGACACGTTGATTGTGCTCACATATATGGAAATGAAAGTGAAGTTGGAAACGCCCTCAAGAAGAGATTTGACGATGGGACGATAAAACGCGAAGACATTTTCGTTACATCGAAGGTAACCGATCGCAACATTACTATTGATGTGTGCATAAAATATAGCTATGGTGCAATGCTCATCGCATGAAAGATGTGCGCCCAGCCTGCGAAGACAGCTTACGAAAACTTGGACTGAGATATTTGGATCTGTATCTGGTTCATTGGCCTGTGTCCTTCCATGTAAGTTTGTCTTGTACACTTTATGTTCGTAGATAAAGGAGGGCAAGAGCTTCTCAAGGGATGACCCGGATGTGCTGGAGTATGAAGAAGTGCCCTTGGAAGAGACTTGGAAGGCCAGTTTAGTTATGACATTCTCAAATAACATTTTAAAAGCAGACTTTGACGCCTTTCATAACATTACCATCGTCAGTGTTTCCGTATAAATTGCCGACTGCATGTTAGCCCATAAAATTTTTGCTTTGATTGATAATGCCCCTCTGATCCCTAAGGTGGTTTTACTTCTACATATGCCTGTAAAACCCTGTATTCAAGTCTGATGGGCCTAGTCCGCCTTGCTCTACGTGCTGGGCTTCCAACAACACGTGATTATTGCCTCTGACAACCCTATAATTCTCCTGTCGTTGCCACCAATATCTGTGTAGGCCATGGAGGACCTCGTCAAAGCTGGTCTCGTCAGGTCAATCGGAGTTTCGAACTTTAACAAGACTCAACTTGATCGAATTCTGGCCATCTGCAAAATTCCTCCTGCGGTAAACCAAATCGAAGTATCTGTGAACTGGTTAAATGAAAAAATGATAAAGTACGCGCACTCCAAGGGTATTCAAATCACGGCCTACGCCCCTTTCGGATCTCCCGGCGTAATGACGTGAGTTTCCATGTAGTTCTTCTTATGGTCAGCTTATTTGGCTATATATGTGAGTAAACGCCATCCCTTTCAGCTTTTAGTAGGACGGTTCAAAAAAGAGTCAAGAGTCGGAACCAGGTAGCTGACTTTAAGCGTTAACCGCCTTCATTTCGCTTTGATTAGCTTTCACAGTAAATATCGATTGTTTGCACTTAGTAATTCGAACTCTGTGGTCCCATGATCTTGTTGTGTTTGCGCTCTTCGACCTACCGCCCGGCTAATTTCCATAACCGGCTAACGCCACTTTTGAGAACACTGTTAAAATTACTTTGCCAACCGATCGGAACTGAACAAATCGTTTTCGGACGGAGACTACTGTCTTACCTTTCGTCTTTCGGTGCACGAATAAGTAGTACAGAACCCACGGCATTTATGAAATCAAGCTCATTGCCTCCAACAGTCAACTGTGCTTGAAGTTTGCGGTTCCTTTTAGTACTTATGATGACGTTCGAGACGACCGATTCAGTTGATTTTATGCTGCAGACTATCCGCCCGTTGAATAAGTATCCTACCGAGCTGCATGTTAGCGGCAGACTCCCGCACGCAAATTTCCTATGTGCTTGCGGAGGATGTAAAAACGTAGGCTGTGGGACAAGAGGTATGCCTACGACCCACTTTCATCACCATCTTTGACTTCCGTTGTCCACCTAACTTCCATCGCCCACCAACACTAGGTTTAGACGAACTTAAACCGCGGACGACTTTGTGAAGTACACGGAGTAGTTCTCGGACTGATCGAGTAGGGGTGATCTCTGTGGGCTACAGAGCCGTCCAGACCCAGTATGAAATCCTGCCATGCTATTAAAATGCTAAAGGAAATTCATGTTCAGATTTCGAAGCTCTGACATGAAGGTGAAGAAGAGTAAAAGGTAATTGGTTAACGAAAATTAAAATCAAAGGAGGCCGCATAAAGTGCCGATCAATATATGCTTAGCAGGCATTTAAGCTTGCATCTAAAAGGCCCTCGTCTTACGCAGCCGGCTAACTTACGGGTTCCCGAATTCAGGCCATTGGCCTGCAATCTCATTTGCTCCTACAGCTAATGCAATTGAGGTCCGTCCTTGTAGACGACACCTGAGCATGCCTAAACCGTAACCTACACATCGGCATGCATGAAGGCCTGCAAAGTTAAATCTATCGATCGGTGCTAATGGTCATTTATTTCTGTTCTAACCTATTGTCTCTTTCCAATAGAGATGCCCCACCTCTGTTGGAAGAAGAATTTGTGAAGAAAATCGCTAGCGCCCATGGGAAGACCCCGGCCCAAGTACTCATTCGACATGCAATGCAACGAGATCTCATAGTCATTCCAAAGAGCACAAACGGGAAGAGAATCGAGGCTAACTTCGATGTAAGTCCTACTTCTTTTTTATTCCCAGGGATTTTGACAGTTATTCTCCCAGATTGAGTTTCCCGATTTACAGGGTTCGTGCTTTCTCAGCGTTTCCACAAAATGCTTATTAAAGAAACCATAGATCTAGGTAATTTCTTTATGACAGCTTCATCCGATCTGTTTTGGTTAACACTTCTGGTGGCTAGAGAGGTGGCAATTCGACTGCTAAAGGCAGTCACTTTAAGACGCCGAGTCCGGTGTCTTTTTTAGTTTACAGATACAATTTCAGTCAATGACAGGAGCCATTGCCTCTGGTGCCTACACGTTGATAGATGTTATACCAACCTCTGCTGATACCAATACAATTAGCCAACGCTCTAAAATCTATGAATTACGTGAGCCTAGTAGTCATCTGGTGAATTCTAGGTGAATCACTTGGGAAATCCTGCTTGGGCAGTCAGCTTACTGTATCAGATTTGGTGGATTCTAGACGATACAGTAGGTTGGGCGAGTAACTTGACCCAAATGTGATAAAACTCGCGTCGTCCGGTGGGGCCTCGTAGCTCAGGTGGTTAGAGCGTTGGCTGTACTAAGGCCTTCCTCTTACAGCGTGGGTTCGAATCCCACCGAGGCGCTGACTTTTTTACAGTTGGGTCAATATGAATTATTCGAAATCTGCCTAAACATCTATGAATTGTTAAGTTTAATCAGCTGGTGATTTGTCAACCAAAACATCGGGACGGTGCTCGTGTGGGACGATTAATAACAGCTGACAGTGGCTTAACACTGAACAAATAGGCTAACGTGCGTCCAAAAATGACCTTTACCTATGAACCATTGTACTGGATGTTTCGTGGTCAGATAAAGATTTTATTTCTTTGGAGATTCCTTCAACGATAATTGCGAAAGTCAGTAATTGCAAAAAATGTATGCTAATTAACATGTGACATCCGCAGCCAGATTCATGGAATGCCTTCAATATTTTGAGATTTGTCCACTATTCTCAGATTATATGCCGTGCTTATCGGCATCCAAAATCTCAGTTGAGTTGTTCCTTCCATCTAACCACTTAAACCTAAATAGCTTGATAAATGTTGCTCGGATTTGACGCGTACCTCGTTGCCTTTGCTACCGGTGTTCCTATTCTTTTTGGATTTGACATTTTAAGGCACCTGCTTGTCCTAATAAGTCTTTTATCTGTCTTAAGTCATGCAAACATTTCCCTCAACAGTGTTTTTAAAATTCACTTCAGGTCTTCGACTTTACCCTGACGACTGAGGAGATGGAAACTCTCAAGGGAAACAGCCGCAACTGTCGTCTATTTAAGATCCCATCGTAAGTGTTTTCTTCCTTCTGGCCTCTACTGACGATTTTTTAGAATGGCAGGTCATCCGGAGTATCCATTCAACGAGGATTTCTAGCTGTCTTGAGATTTTCCTGTGTCCCGACGACATCTTTTCTTAGCGCCGTTTTTCTGCATTTTGTTCGTATTCTGGTGCACTTAAATCTAGTCTTATGATTCGAAATTTATTAAAAAATTTTCAATTATCCTGCCTTTTTCAAGGTAAAATATGAGTTACTGAGCAGGAAGGAAGAAGAAGAGGCAACTTCTCTGATGCTGCTTGTTCATCAAAGCTGAACTGCGAGCTGACTGTGATGGCGAGGAGGAGGGCGAGGCGCGGAATGACGTTTATAGCGGCCGGGCTGCACAATAAAAAGGACCGCTCCTGACTGGGCGTTCTCTTGTACTTTCGCTGACTGATGCATACGACATGCGTGGTGCTTGTTTGCCAGTTATGGGACTGTTCAGTCTGCTGGCGTGTTGGCTTCCCAGTCGGTGGAATGATTGCCAGTCAGTCCCTGCGGGACTTCGTTGCTGACGCCGTTAAATCCGCCACAGTTGTCCTACCATCGTAGAGGTAGTGGTTCAGGACCTGACTTTCTAGTTAAAAATGCCGCCTAGTTAAAATACCTTCGGAGAACTCTGCCCCCTAGCAGGGGTCTTTCAGTCTTCCGGCCGCATTGGCCCTGACTATCTGCTTTTCGTCACCGCCAGTTTGTCCGGTGCGTGTTGTGATCCCCATGTCGGCCGCAGTTTCTATGGCGGAACCCGCGGTGTCCTTTGCTTCCCAACGTAGTTGCAGTTATCCTCACCGCAGCAGATCGTGGACTGGGATTTGGTGTCTAGGTTGTGTCACAATGCCGATCTTCGAACGGCGGGTTCTGTGAGGTCATCCCCTGGGGACTACGATCCGCGAGGACTGTTTTGGAGATTCTTCTGATGTACGGATGCCTCTGGATTTCCGGTTGCCGCTTGTTTGTCGTCCTTCGTAACTACAGGCTGGCCTGGGCAAAAGGCGGAGTCACTCGTATATAAACGGCAGTCAGATGCGTGACGGAGGCGGGAGACTTATCTCAAGTTGTTGTTTATACCCTGAAGACTGTCCAGGCCTCCACGCTAGGAGTTATAAACATACTCGCCTGACTGGAAAGGCCTAGGTGTTGGGGCGCTTAGTGTGTGGGACGCTGATGAGGACTGAGTCAGCTGACAAATGGACCTCCCACCGGGGCGCGGGGCACTGCGCAGCCGTCCAAATTTGCAGCAGGCACCGATCGTGGCTTTGCCTTGCCCACTGTCGCTTGTGCACTCCTGGGATTCGGTTCCCGTTTCCCCTTTCGAATGAATTGGAACTTCGGGCGTGGACAGTGTTTTTTGATGGACTCAACAGGGTCTTGTTATGTCAGCTACTTCGACATCAACATAACGCGCCCAGAATTTCCACTGACACTTAACCGCCTCTGCAAGTTCGAAGTAGTCCCATAGGGGCCTCTACTGCTGATACAGCTCTTCCCTTCATCAGGAAGGAGCTGTGTTCCAGTCCTCCTAAACCAGTATATCTGCATACTACTAAAATCTTCAGGTAGTGTGGCTGCCAGGTTTCACACAACCAAGACACAAATAACACCGGAGTTGGGCTGTCTTTAAGCCGTCTGCTACCGCCGACCGCCTATGTCTCACCTGGCGCCGGTGTGTGGCATTTGTAGGTGGGTGTCAATCCCGTCGCTGGTCTTCGTTCACCTATGAGCGAACTCTTCGGCTAAGTAACTGGGTTGTTGATTAGCCCTCACGATTTCCTTAAGAAGGAAAAGGTATTAAGTGTTTATTGGGAAAGGAATCTACTCACCGGTACAGATTTGTCGTATTGTTGACGTTTCTGAGCCCTTGGTCGGCTCTCCATTCTCAAAGGGTTTAGCGCCGAAAATAGACCAAAATTTTAAATGACTGCCCGAGATAGTCGGCATTGATTTTCTTCCTCGTTTGTGGGGTTTCACGGCCGTCTGCGTTAAACCTTGTCACCTCGATGCAGGGCGCTTGAAACTCTGCTTCTCCGGGGCCGTATCTGCTCGGTTTTCCTAGTTTTGGCCTGGCCATCTTGCCCTGTCCTTTATGTATGTAATGGCGCAGGACTTTATAAGCCGCAGAGCCGTTTAGATGCCTGTTGATTGACTTGACATTTGAATAACACGCCTCGAGTGCGAGGCTTTCTGTTCTAGAGGTGCCCCGATCTAAGATGGTAGCTCCTCGAAGGTGATAAGCGTGGTCAATATATCCAATATGAGTCCCAAGCTGTGAGTTTGGGTTCAGTCTCCGAGTTAACAGTTTGTGCTGATGTAGGCGAGCAACTTCTGTTGCTCAGATTATCACCCTGGGACTCACCTTCGCGAACCTAAATAATCCCTGCATGTGGTATGATGGTGATATCTCCAAATGCGCTGGACGGCGCACCTAGGGTTTGATGAAGAGCGTAGCTCTAGTTAAGTAAAAAAAAATACTGACTGCTCATGCTATGTGTAAACAAATAGGTCCCAGAGAGGTTCCAGTCGATAAGTCTGAGATAACTTGGGGTGGAGGCGATTTTACAGACTCGCGATAGCGAGTAACCAATCTTACGAAATGTGAGCCAAAACTCTGAAATGCGTTTTCGACTAGGAAGTATTACGCAGGTGGCATTGTAATATTGATTGTCGTATGGCATCATCCTGTAATATTTCGAACTCACCACGATGTCGGCTTTTGGATGCACTTATTTTCGACCCGCAGAAACCGAAATCGGTAAAAATGACACACTGCGATGACGCATTTACGATGATCCTATAAATCTAAGTGTATTTTATAGACAACTTACACAAAATATGCTTTCTTCTACTCGTTGGGTAGAAAATCATGTTGTCGTCTCATTTTTACCCGAGGAAATGATATCTTCCAGTTTAAAAAACGTTTTTAATTACGAGATTTTTTAGGACCGTGCAATGTACATACAGCATCGTACCTGTACGTTTATTAATGCTCCTCCTAAAGTGTACAATACAGCCCGCACCCATTGCAAAATTTCATGAACTCTATACGGTATCCTCTGAAAGGCATAAAAGAATATATGGTTTTCCTTACGTGGAAAGTATGCACCATGTAGACTGAAATCGCTAAGCGCTGACCAGACTCATAATTATTCAGGAGCTGGGAAACATTTTCAAAATCTAAAGTTATCCTTTCTTCGGGCATGAAATGTGAGGACAGCACGATTTTCTACAAAATATATTTGAATTTAAAAGATTACCGAAAACCAATGCGAAAAATGCATGCTAATTAAGTAGTGATTCTTTAGCGAGTGCGGTTTCTGCAGGAGACCGAAAATAAGTGCATTCAAAAGCCGACATTCTGGCAACTCCGAAATATTACAGGATTATGCCACACAAGAATCAGTATTATAAAACCACCTAATCAAAAACGCATTTCAGAATTTTGGCCCACATTTCATGAGATCGGTCACTCAATGTAGTTGTAAGTTGCGACTACTTGAACTCGATGGATAACAAGGCAGTCCTAGTTTCAGACTCGGTCTCCGCAAATTCTCTCTACTAGTTTGGTGCTCATTCTGCGAAGTAGGTGCGTAGTACAACAACCTGAAAGAAGGTGATAGTCCCGTCACCAGAGGCAACGAGGTCCGTCGTTGTTCCAGAAAGGATGCAGTGGTGTCGTGCATGAATTTGGGGAGGAGACAACTGTCCAACATCCAAGTGACTCGGTCTCCAACTACTGTTGGCATTTCAATGGCAAGCTGCAGTCAGAACAACTGGGGGATGAGCGTGGACTAGTTGGCTGACGGAGATGAGGTCGCATCTACACGTGCCACGCACGTGCTAGTCCCTAAATTCACACCAAATATCCCCCCGGAGAGGGGATATCGGTTTTTTTCGTTGAAGGTAGTTGGTCATGAAAACCACACCAGGAAGGAGTCACTGCAGTCCGGCCATCATTCTCAAGAAAGAGCAAGTTAGCCAACCAGCTGACATCCATCTACGCCATGGCCACTAGCGCATCGCGATAATTCAAAATGACCGATTGCCTATAACGAGAAATAAACGCACCGGATCAGATGTACAGTTTTAAAGAAAAAGATGGGCTTGCGGCGGTCAGGGATGTGAGATCAACTTAAACCACGCACAATAAGTGCGTTTCGTCTAAGGTCAGAAGTCAGGGAGCTGTGAGGACTAGTTTATTCTATACACAGGGCAGGTTGCTGTAGGTTGGCTGTTTGCTTGCGACAGAGATAAGCGTCCGTTCACGGAGAGTGTTAGTCGCGGTGTGGTGTTTACGCGGGTGTGAGTGTCTGTGTTAGCAGCAGCAGCAGGGGTGACTGGCTGAGTGTTGGTTGTGTGATTGGACAAATTAGGGGAGGAATACGGGGGGGGGCATACTCACAAGGCCTCACGAGTATCAAGCCAGAGCGTTCGACGCGTGTGAGGTGATGAAAGTTTGTGAGGTCAGCCGATAGTCACTGAAGTTGGACCGGAGGTGTCCAAGTTCTAGCCGGCGGGGGTGGCCGTGTGTCAACAGCTGTCGCGGCCATCGTTCGACAAAACGGAGCCAGAGAAAAAGGGGCAATGGAGCGGCTGCTACAGGCTCAACGGAACGGGTTTGTTTAGGTGCGGACGTTTCAAAGAGCTTGGTCGGCTCCCCACTGTGAAAGCGTAAAGTGCAATTAATCGACCAGAAATCTCAAGTGGCCTGTGGCGTTGGTCGGCCTCATGCTGATCGATTTCTATCTTGCTGCCTCGGCCTCTCGGGGGATGGTTGGCGGGCGTTTTATCTGTGTGTTT